TAAATTTGAGCCTGGACATGTAATGCCAGGGTAAAGCACATGAATAAAGATGAGTGCATTGGAGCATACCAAACAGGTGACTTTTCTTCACTACAAGCAACTCACACACCTGAGACCAGAGGAAGGGCTGAGTCACACTGACATGACAGATTCAAGGCCCAGTACCTCTTGTTTTACCAGTCGAACACTCCTCTTGCCAACCTTGTGAGAGGCACGTGAGGCTGAGACTCAATATTTGCTCAAGATCATGAAGGCATAGAAGGTATGTCTCCCACAGCCAAGGCAGATGCTAGGCCAACACCAACTAAAGCACCAGTCGTCCTTCCGTGGCCTGCTACAAACCTGAGACATTCACGGAGACGTAGGTGGTTTCGCTTCCCGAGGGACTGTTGGTAATGCAGGCATACAGCCCTGAGTCCTCAGGCACGGCGTCCCTGACCTCTACCTCCTCCCCCGTGATGCGCGTCCGGTTGTTTTCTGACAGCTGGACCCCATCTCGTACCCAGTTGATACTCTGAACATCATCACGTAGCCGACAGCGCAACTGGAGGAGGTCGCCAGGGTGAGCTGAGTAAAACTCCACTTCAGTGCTTGCTTTGGGTAGAACTGGTAATGTTAGGGGAGACAAAGAAAAGGGAAAAACAAGGGGGGAGCAAGGCATGAGTGGTTTATTGCAGATGCATTACTCTGGCAGCATGCAGCACTGCAGGATAGGGTTGCCAAGTATAGCTTACCTCCGCAGCGAGGGACTCCCGGGTGGATCCCGGAGTGAGTACACGCGCCGCATGCATGTCACCAGGAAGTGACGTTATGATGCCGGGCATGCTGGGGGTGGGGCCACGACCATTCGAAGGGAAACCATAGAGTTTCCCCTCGGATGGTCGTGGCCCTGCCCCCAGCGTGCCCGGCGTCATAACGTCACTTCCTGGTGACATGCATGCCGGGGTGGGGTTTCCTCCGGGGCCTGATTCCGCGGCGGCGGAGGAAATCGGGCCTCCAGAGCGGGGGTTTACCCGCCCCCCTGCCCCCACTTGGCAGCCCTACTGCAGGAGGCAGGTTGTCCTCCAGCCGGCAATAAGTTGCAGGCCTCAACTGCCATGCGGGTCTTTTGGAAGAGCAGCAGCAGCAGCAAGAAGTTGGCACGGAATTAATTTCTGAACAGTGCCATGGGTGTACACAGCACTTTGGGGGTTTTATACACTGTTAAAGGCCAAGGGCAGCTGCAAAGCATCGCACTACAATGGGCAAGTGGCTGCATCTGACCCAGGCCAAGACAAAATGGCGGGCTGAGATGAGAAATTCAACTCCAGTTGAAGCAGCACCTACCTGAAGCTCCACAGCTAGTAAGCTGGCTGCCACACACAGCCTTCAGAGCAGGGAGGGTGAAGAAGTAGAAGGGGTTAAAAAAGCAGTTTGCAGGAAGATTAAAGCTTTATCGACGTCTGCTGCATGGATACACTTTTGTAAGAACTTCTCATTTCAGAGTAATATTTGAGAATTCTTCAGGACATTTTTTATATAATTGAAGTTAATGGATAGTCATCCCATGTATAAAAAACAAGGAAACTTCTGGCACCTAAATACTTACAGATACATTACAGTATAAGCTGTCATAGCCTAGAGTTTGCTACCATCAGATACATCCCAGGACCATAATATCAAGGCAACAACCCTGTATCTGGCCCAGTTAATGAAAACAGCTCAGCATGTGGTAAAGCGACTCTCAGTGGGGAACAATGACACGACTGAATACTCTCTTCATATAAAATATTCCCTGTGCATAGAAAACTAGGTTTCAGGGACAACAATTCTAGACTAGCATTCTCCTTGACACACTAACAAATATGCTGGGAACAGCTTTCATGGGAAAGCATTTAAATCATCTGACTCTCCTAAGGAGCAGTGCTTTTATCACTTCATTTTAATGTGAAGTAGGTCTCTGCAAACAAGGAATTCCCAAGTGTTTCCATCAAGCACCCATGTTGACCACAAAGGGTCATTTGCCGTGTATTTTCTATAGAACTGCGAAGGGCACCCCTCAGTAACCACAGCCCTGCTATTATTTGTGCAACCATTTATCCTAAGATCAAAGCTTCGAGGAAAGAGCACCTGGTCTTGCTGGACGGCTGACTCGATTAACTTTAACCTCAGATTTACCGTATGAGTACGTCAACAAAACTATAGAGGGAAGCAAATTCAGCAGGTATCCCAGGATAACAGGACTGTATAAACAGTTCCAGGGACCAGCCACTGAAAGGGCTTTGTGCAATATTCTTTGTGCCAGGAATGAAGAGAGGGGGGCTGGTTCAAACTGGTAATTTGATATTCCCAAACTGAGAGGCTATGGAAAATGAGATTGGGCAAACATGCCTTTTAACTGCTTTCTTGCTTCCCCCCACCCCTGTATCCCCAGTAGTAGAGTAAGCACAGGGAACAATCCTTAGGAGGTCTGCAGGAGCAAGTTTTACTCAATGAAGCTTACTGTCAGGGAAGTGTCTTTAGGATTGCAGCCCCACTCTTGTGAGCAATTTTCTGATGTTATTAGCAGACAAAACTCTTTACTAGCTTATCTATTGACACATACTGCTATAGTGTGCCCAATACACACAGTGCCTGATGGAGGCAGAAAGAACATCACTGCCTTTTCGTTGCAGGCCCTTTCTCTAGTACAATGCACCTTTACATCCAATAAAGCCTAGAAATTTACTTTTAAAAAATGTAAGATTCTCAGGATACTGAGTTTTATGTTTATATACCCTGTCCATGTTTTCACAAAACAGACATAACTGAAAATGCCATTTTAAAAAATTAAACTTAGGCTACAAATCAGGAATTTTATGCCAAAATTATTTGGCATGGGAGAACATTAGAAGAAAGCATTAAGCTCAGGATAAGGGGAATCAAAACTGCAGTCTCAACCAATGCTCCCTCTAAGCTGTGGAGTCTTGTGAGCAAAAATTCTACTTTGTGAGCTACTGGCATTAAAGTTGTGAGTGAGCGATTTGGCTCCTGCATAAATCAGTTTGCTCTGGAGCCATCCCTTCCTGAGCGAAGACAAAGTCTGTGAGTTGGAGGCTAAAAAACTGTGAGCTAGCTCACACTAACTCAGCTTAGAGGGAACACTGGTCTCAACCATTTTGAGAGAACAGCTGCCATGTTGTTTGGCAAGATTCTGGGCTCTCCTTTCCAAAAATTAAAAAAAACAAAAGAAACCAAAACACACATTTGCATCTACCAACTTTCATCTCTTTTCCATATGTTCACACATACATCATGGCCACATCAGGGTGGAACTACATGCTACAGATAGTTCTGTGATTGTTCTCTCCCCTCTACCAGCTTTTGTTTGTTTTTACAGAATGCAGCCATGGGGACTGCAATTTAAAGGGTGTGTATGTAGTGAGGGGCTAGGTACCCTTAATGGAGAAAAATAGAAGTATGTGTAAGTTTTCCTTAGTGTGTGTGTGTGTGTGGGGGGTAAAAGCAGCTTGGGAGAAGTTGCTTTGGGTGACGAGAAAGCATGAGATTTACATTTCGGCCCCAGTGGCTTCCTTCTGCTTTGTTCCTAAGCCCCTTGGGGGAAATAATCATGGAGCTACATACAACATGTAGTTCTGCCCTTAAATGTGCTTGTATCGGGTTTCTGAATCGATCAAGGGATATGTAGAAAGGCTGATTTACAATTTCTTTTTAATCCTCTGGTGATTTACAGTTCAGGTGAAAGGTTACCAGGGGTTAGTTTTAAGGCTCATTCTGGGGAGTGGGAGTTGAAATATCACGGCCATCAGCTTGTCCACCAATTTAGTGGCTTTTTCAAAGATTTCTCTGTGTTCCAGCTTGTGGTATAGGGCTACCAACTTGAGGGTTACCAACTGGAGTTCTTCGGACTACAGAGGACAATTCCTCCAGAGGAAATGGCAGCTTTGGAGAGCGGACTCTATGGCACCACATCCCTGGTGAGTTCCCTCCCCACCCAAGCACTGCCTTCCTCAGGTGTTGTAACCGATACCTGGCACCACCCCAGGTCTCCAGGAATTTCCCAACCCACAGCTGGCAACCCTATTGTGGTAACTACTGTACATACAGACTTGAAATAGGAGGCAATAATGTAATACGAACAACCACGTTTAGTGTGTAACCTTCTTGCATATGTGTACAGTGAACAGTCCATCTCTCTTCAAACCCACATGATTATGACCACATATATTCACAGATACCACGTGAAGACACACTTCCTAGTGGCATACAGAAATCCTCTTATTAGTACTGCTATTCAGTGTGACATCCCCAGGTTCTCCTGCCCCATGAGCTCAAGGTTTGGGATGCTGGGGACTTGAGCTATGCACGTACAATTTGGGTGTTCCTATGTCTATATAACTGTTCCTATGTCTATATAACTGTTCACGGGTTTCAAGCAGATCTAAACTAAAACCAGTGCAAGTACGGTAGGCTATGTGGACTGAGCTTGGTAAAGATGAGAGAGGCAGAAGGAACTGGTGTTTCTTGAAGGGGGAGAATTTCATGGAGCAGCTTTTAAGCCCACAATTTCTGACTTTTCTTTACCAAGCCATGGACCTGGGGGTGGAGAGAAGAGTGGACATTTCCCCTCCTCCTGACACTGATTCTAATCAAAGACAAAGTGCGCTGATAGAAAGCCTCACAGATTTTGTTTGGTTGGTTTTGGCACAGGAGACTACACTGGCTGATGTCTTTTCCCCACCCCTAGTCAAGAACAACCCTGAATCACACACAGGGAGTGGGCAGGGGTGGATTAAGTGTTCCGCATGCCCTGGACTCAAAGGGCACTTCCAGCCCTACATACATGCCAAGCTATAAAAGCTGCTTCCATTCTAGAGGCACACTTTTTTCCTACATAGTAAATTATGAGTAAGTTACATAATGAATTTACAAGTGTGTGTGTGTGTGTGTGTGTGTATCTTTCTCTCTCTGGCATTTATGTTACTTGTTTCAAGCGCTCAGTATGTTTCACTTGACTTACATAAGCTTTCCATAAAACAACAACCCCACATGGAGGGCAGGGCACTATTTATTACCCCCATATTGTAGGAAAAGGAACAGATAAGAGGCTGCAGGTTTGTGTTAGTGCAAAGAAAATTAATAGTGAGCTGTAGCCAACTCTGGCTAATAATGGTATTTAATATTTCTCAAGTTGTATATTGTCAGGAGTGCTATTTAATAGGAGAAAGGTGGTATATAAACCTTTTCAAGTGAATAAATAGATGTTCTGAGCTACCCCAGACCTTTTTGAGTGTGTTATTTCAAATGAACTGCACACTTTGGACAATACCAACCCATTTAAGTTGTAGCATATTGAAGTTGTGGCCAGTGTGTTCTAAAAGCTCCACTTCTGGGAAGGGTTGGCTTCAGGAGAATCCAAGCTTGAGAATATATTTGGAGAGAGGGAAAGCAGCTGCCACAAAATGCAACATTTGTTTGGAGAGCACAAAGATCCCTTTTTTCCCATTTCCTTCCACAACTATCCAGCTTCATTGGCTTCCCACAGCCTGCAGTACAGCAAGCTCCTCTCCAGGTCTCCCTTTCTGGGAAGCAAGAAACGGGCCGGAGCAGAGAAATACAGTTATTTT